TCTTTTGTATCTATTCATTTTCCCGGAATGTTTTTAGGATAATGTTATTACTACGCAGGACGCTTTCATCAGACATAATGAGAATTAGCCTTTTTGGAAGTTTTCTTTTTACAAAAAATCTCGTCGCAGCATTATCAAATCGCAGATAAAAAATAATAAGAGTTTGAAATCTTTCTTCTTTAAGAGAACAACGCAAAAATAAACATCGTCATAGGGAAAGATAAAGAAGCGCTTGAGCTGTTTGATCTATCTTATTCAAGCAAACAACAGAAACTTATCTCAAACGAATACAGCTTAGAAGATTATGGAATTTTCAATGTTTCTATGCTGACTTATAACTTTGTTTTATTTTCACATTTTCTGCACCTTTGACTTACAGCTATAATAGCTATTGACGTCAAACATAAAACTTGACAAAATTTTGAATTTAATTTTGCAATTTATTTCCATTTGTACTTTGTTCGGAATCTTCAGTAATTTAGGCAATGCGACATTGTGACCCATTTTGTTAACTAAATTAAATCATTCGCACACAAAGACTGTAATATCATAACGGGCTCGTATTCCGCCAGTAATGACGTAACCTTGCTTATTTCATCCCGTTCATTCCCGCGGGATCATCTCAACAAGGATTAATTGCTAAGCAATCCCTTCAAGTGGAAACGCGTAATAATTTGATGTTACATCACACCACACAATAATGCTGTTAGATATTTCGTTTTGTGGATCAACTGTTTTCAGTTTAATGAGCACTTGTTCATGTTCTATCTTTTTATCATGTAGGTATATTTTTTTATAACAGTTTTGAAAATTTTGTCAAATACTTAATTTTATAATCATAGGGGTTCTGCCCCTTTTTAAGGTGGCTGGAGGAGTTCCGTACCTTAAAAGGAAAGAACGGAACCCTTATAAGGTTTCCGTTCTTAAGATTCATTAAGTTCGCCTTTTGTATCATTCTCTTGTATTTTGATCATTATCATCATCAGCCTATTAATGTCCTCACTGCTGGGGCACAGGCCTTCCCTATGGATGGCATAGGGAGATTGGGCCATGTCCCACCACGCGAGCCCAGTGCGGATTGACGGGTGCTAACGAATACAGATGCAGCCGGGACCAACGGCTTAACGTGACCACCTGCGCCATCGAGCTTCTCTGTGTTTTGGTCAATAAAGTTTAAAATAATTAAGATCACTTTGTAGTCCGTCTGTATGTCAAGAAATTTTATCTCGGGAGCACGCAAAGGCATCAAGTTAAAATTTAAACCATATACTCAAGTATGCGGTCCCTCGAAGCTGTGAAAATACCAACTTTTAAGTTAACGTAAAAAAATAAAGGCGCGTTAATCTGTCTGTCGAGATCCTTTATCTCGGGAACGCGTGAAAGTATCGAGTGGAAATTTAAACAGTATCCTCATGTCCAAGGTTTCTTGAGGCTATGAAAAAATATAACTTCTAAATTAACGTAAAAAAGATACGGCTGTTTATATTGCGTGCCTAAAATTTCCCTCAGTACAACTGCAATAACTCTCGGTGGACGAGTTCGACTCGCACTTGTCCGACTCTTGTGTCTTATTAGACTTGTCTTGTCGAAATTACTGTAAAAAATCACTTGGTAAAAGACTACTCACCACCAATGAAAATATACATTTTAGGAAGTCTTAAATAGTGTAACTCATCTAACTGCGACGTCGAAGTTGCCAACTACTGTAAACGATTTCGGCAGTTCGCTAATGATACTAAATTATAATGGAGTTTTGTTACCTTTCGAAACTATGACCAAAAGTTTTGTACGTGCAGCCACCGGTGGTATTTAATAAATTATAGACGTGTGCGTTACTGTTACGTGGAATTTCCTTGCTATTGCTAGCTTTATACCTAAGCAGAATATTATATTTCAAAGCTGTAGATTCTGTAGTACTGCGAGATATCATTTAATACATTGCTAGACACTAGCCTGATACGAGTGTAACTGTGGTGTGTATGGTGTAATGTTAAAATATTTATACAAAAATACCATCCAGATTTCTGAATTGCTTCATGATTTTTATTTAAATATACTAACTTTTTTTTCAACAAATCTTATTCTGAAACTGACAAAAATGTTATGATTCATTTCACTGATTAATAGTAATTACTTTTCGGAATACGTCTGGTTTGGGAACTTTTTCTGCGGGATTAACATTCTTTACTACTGGACTGGAATAGTAATTACTATCAAACCCGGTGGAGTTTCTTGAACATGCACAATTTCACTTTCTACAAGGTGAGGATGGCTGGAGTAGTACACTTTCTGCCGCGTCATCTATATTCGCGGCTGGACTCTACTTACACTTAACATCAGGTGGAATGGAATAGGTATTTTGTTGTTTTTGCGCCTCGTATAAAAAGCTGTCATAAGAAAAATACAAAGTTTTCGAACTCACAATACTGAAGACTTCTATCTCGGTGAAATACAATATTTTCCTTTTTCTCAAATCTTGGACGGATCCTTCTTAGGAAGCGTAGAAATCTAGCAGCGATTGTTCTTGGGAACATTACCTCAACTCATAACGCAGACGTAGCAAAGTCGATGTTTGATACGGTTTTCGCTAGTAGGAATATCTCTCTCTCTCCAATGTAGCTTCATTAGTTTTAATTCTCTGAATTTAAGATGTATAATGAGGCTGGCATGCTCCAAGAATAAAACGGTCTGCTGGCAACTACGCGGGGTAGGGCAATGGGTTCAGGCTGGAGCGGTACGCTTTCCGCCGCATCATTTATCTTCTCGACTGGGGGCCAATCGACTAACGGGATTGCTATGGCTATCGCTATCACTTAATATTTCATTTTTTTATTTCTGACCGCTGAAGGTTTTGGAACGCCTCGCGATCGCTTTTTTTCTTTTGCATTGGTAATAACATTATTAAAGAAAATGAGCTTAAGGTATTTGAAAACCTTCGGGAGTCAGAAATAACAAAATGAAATAGTAAGCGATAGCAATCCCGATAGGCAGTTAACCCCCTGGACTTCACTTAACATCAGGAGGAGTTGAGTAATTTGTTGCGCCCCATTTTAAAAAAAACTTTATTGGAATAACACAAACTTTTCCAAGAATTGAAATGGCAATAAGTGAGACAAGCAAAAAATTCATATATCGTTAAAAATGTTTATTAATAGTAGTTCACTATCTGAAAGTTACATCCGATTAATATTTACAGTCATGTTATTTATTATACCTTTATAATACAAAGACCTCATTATTTATTTTCAAGAGGATGATTCTGTTGGCGGGCTGTCCCAGATGGGCTATAAAATTGAAAGCGGCATAATGAACCCAAACATTGTAAAATTTACGAGCTATTTTATTTACAGATAATAAAAAAGTTTGAAAGTTATGATATTCCATAAGTGTTCACCAAAAAAAAACAGTGCAATAAAAGGAAGAAAATAGATTTGTTGCATTAAATCGATTAAAAGATGTTTTTTGATTGCCACTTTTCACTTTATTACCAATATTTAGGTATTATTTAGGAAACTGTGAAATTGTAAAAACTTGCAGAACTTTTGTACTTATGTACCTCTCCATCATTAACATTTTTGCAAGCCAGTCAAAATAAGCATACCTACCTAATTGTATCGGAAAATAATGCTTTTGGGGTCTCGTTAGAATAGTTGAAACATAATGATATTCCATGATACAATAAAGTTAAAATATGCTATGGGCTAATATTCAACCAACAGTTATCCATTTAATACTGACACATTGAAAATAATCTTCATTTATTTATTGGTACTGTGAACTGCGTTCCAAAAAAATACTTCAGAGATACATTTTAAAGAAAATTTAAAATGTATCTCTGGCTGCAAAGGTCGCGGTAGCATAACTGGTCAGTGCAACTGCCCGGATAACGGAGGGTGCGGGATCGACTTCCGTCTGCTGCATGAACCGCGAGGATTTTTATATAGTATTTTTTTTCACGTATAAACATCTTAGTTGATGCTAAAAAATTAAAATATAATAAAGATATCTTTTATATCAAGTATTGTAAAATCAGCTTATATAAAACAATATAAAGTCAAGTCTAATAATATCTAATGGTATTTAAGAGACTTTTGTAAATGTTTGTTTTGTATTATTTACATATTTCAAAGCAGGTACGGTGGGACTCAATTTCATCGTAAAATTTTAAACATTTTATTTGATATCGTACAACTGCTACGGTTTGTAAATCTAATAGAGAACGAGTCGAAATTCAAACCATATACTCAAATCTATAGTTCTTTTAAGGTGTGAAATGAATCACACGTCTAAGTTAAAATGCGAAAGAGATAAGGCCTGTTATTTTGCGTACCTTTAAAGGGCATGGCTAAGAAACTGCCCTTAAATGTGTAATTATTTCACACTAGCCCATTAAAATATTTGTTTATTAATTATTACGTGTTTATTGTTCTCATAAAACTTTCGTGAAATAATCCAATATTTAAAAGTATTTCTTGTCAGGCCGACGACAAAAAATAATTTCTATTTATTTTTTCTTTAAAAATACTTTTTGAGAAGGGTAAATCAGAGAAATGGGAGGTATGATTCTAAGAAAATGCGAAATTGCTGGCTCTGTAAATAATTGCCAATATCTTTTATCAAATGTAGCAAGGTAATGACGTAGTAGGAGTTTCCATAATTTTAAGTATTGTAATTTTATCAAAAGTTCCTGAGCCTTTTTTCATAGAAATTATAAATTTTTAGCCATTTAGCTTTAAATATTTCTAAGTACAATATTTATACATTGCTAGGGCAGTCGTTCATATAAAATTTTACCATGTCCTTTGTACGGAACCCTCGGTAGGCGAATCCAACTCGCACTTGACCGGTTTTTAGTATATTTTTTTGCCCATTTTTAGGTTGTTAAATTTGAAAAACTAATATGGATCCGCAGCAATATAACATATCAAGATTTTAGTACAGTGTAGTTTAAATTCATTATTTACACATATTAAACAATGCAAAGCTATCTTGTTACCGAAACAACTAATAAAGGAGATATTATCCATGACATCAAGAGAAATGGTAGTTAAAATATTAGCTTCTAACTTATATCTACTTATACTTAATTCTATCACTGAGTTGACAACATATCCTATATTAATCTTAATCTTATATAATTTACTATTGTTAATTTAAATATCTTAACCAGTCTTTCTTCTTACATAGTAAAATATAAAGCAGCGAGACAAAACACTGTACTTAGGCAAATTTCACATTAATCGATTTTACGACAAGTTCAACAATGTTCACTGTAAGATAGTCATTACAAACAACGATAACACTGTGAATAAGTTCGAATGGACTGTAATACATGAGTTAGTTCTCCAGTAATTTTCGTCTTTTGATGAAAGCATCAATGAATCCTCCTTGTTTTGGGTCAGTTCACTCGGGCACGGTAATGAATCAACGGGCATATCTATTACGGTTACTTGCTCTCTGACCAAAGGTTGCACAGTAGGATCTGACTTTAATGACTGATTCGTTTCTTCGTAAAATTCTCCATCATTAGCATCCTGTTGCAACAAATCACTACTTGTGACAACTTCGAAAATGTTTTTCGATTCTTTGATTTCGTATTGCGTGACGTCATTGGATATCCGCTCGCTTTTTCCAGACACCATGGGAATACAAGTGACGTCATCTAAGGCAGTTCGAAGTACTTCACTCTTCGTTTCGTTCTTTAGTGACTGGATCCATGACAGCCGACAGTCGCAGGACAGATTGTTACCTATAAACAAACAAGGCAGTGTTTATAAAGTAATAATTTCTCTAGTAATAACTGAATATTTTTGCATCTTTATAAATGCTCAAATACAATAAAAATTGACACAATTGGTATGGTATCATTTTACATGTCATGATATGTAATAAAATTATTTTTTTTATTGTGCAACATGTTTTCTTTTTTTTGCTTTATACCATAGAATAATATCCGACCTAAACATGTCCTTCAAATATTGCATAATGGAATCGCACCCATGAAGTTAAACTGCCCCTCGTGTCAATTCACGTCACTAACTAAAATATAATAACAGTAGTTTGCTTGTTGATTTTTAATAAAACATTTTTCATTCAGCCCAAATCGAGTTATAACGCCATTGTTGACTCACTAAAGGGAGCTGTTACACTCATTAATTGTCTTTAATGCACGAAGGGTGCTCCGAAGGGGGATTAGACCTCTGTAGGGAGCTTTCCATTGTTTGCCCAAAATATAGTTATTTATCTTCCCATGAGTACTCTCTAAATACATGGAAATGCGATATTTACTTTCAAATAACACGATTGTTCCGAAAGGGATTGTCTTGTAAATACATTTGTAATCTTATATGTAATTGCAAGCTTTGATATTTATCAGGAGAAATAACAACAATTGTAATGACTTTTAAAATGACATAGATACTTTACAACAAATAATCAGAGTACCATTATTTAATACATAGATATGTAAAGTAACACTCGCTTTCAAGAGCGATAAAAATATAAGCAATTTAAAATCTTAATTTTGATGTCACCGTCAAAATGACAGCCACCTTTAGGTCGCACATTTAACCTTACTAAACCCATTTGGCCTCCCCTGAATCTTTTCTTTTTGTTTCTGTGGTATAGATTTGATAAATAATATTTTTCTGGACTTTTTTGAAGAAATAACTAACTGAAATTATCTGGTATCAAGCTAAATACAGCTTGTTAAGTATATAAACTATAAGACACAATAGTAATTATTTGTGTTCATCATGCTCTCGATACGAATATCAGGATCACAATAAGCTCGTTTTTTTTAAATTTAAAATTATTGAATGTTCTAAAAACACGAATACTCACCACTCAGATAAAGAACGGATGTCTTCATTTTCAAATTTTCAATTATCGGCTTAACATTTTCGTAACTAAAGAATTCTATTTCATTGTTTCTCAGATCTAATAAATCGAGCCCTCGAACACCTTCTAAAAGCCCCTCATTAATGGACTTCAATTTATTTCCAGTCATTGATAATTTTTGTAAAAGAACGAGCCCGTCGAACGCCCTCTCTGACAAATATTTCAATTCGTTATTGTCCAAGAGGAGCTCGTTTAAATTCCACAATTCAGTGAACGTCAAGTCCCCGATCATCGACAACTTGTTAGACCTCAGATCCAATCTCGTCAAATTAGCCAAGCCCCTGAATGTATCTCTAGTCAATATCGTTATTGAATTGGCTTCTAATATCAGATCATTGAGCACAGTTAAATGTTCAAAACATCCATCGTGTGCGAGGTTAATGCTGTTAAATGACAAATCGAGACATCTGAGGGAAGGTAAATCGACAAAAACGTCCCTCTGTATCTCAGTAACTTTATTTTCTTTTATAGTCAAGTTTACGAGCGCCGGTAGATTTGTGAACGAGGAAAAGTCAAGTTCGCTTATTTTGTTGTTCATCAAAGTTATTTCTCTCACTGTGGACATGTTCGAAAATGTCTTTTTCTCTATTTTACTCAATGTCGCGTAATGGATGTAAAGTTTTTGCAGGCGCTTCAAACGATGTATGACTTGCATCGGGATGAATTTGAGGGCACCGTCTGATCTCACGTTAAATGTTAGTCGTTCCAAATACGGCTGAGAGCTGAAACTAGACCATATAGGATTACTTTCATCTATTCCTCCATTGAAAACCCAGCAGTCTGCTCTTGTGGCTGTCTTTACTTCAGTGTTCTCGCAATAGCAATGCACTTTGGATTCCCTGTCTGTTGTTTCACATATATTGTCCTTCAGCTGTGTGGCGTGATACCTCCTTTCAGTTTTATCCCTCCGTTTTTCATTTAGTCGGCTTTCAGTGTAGGATATTTGCACTGAAGTCAACGCTAGAGCCAGGAGTAAATATTGGACGATGGTCTCCATGTCCTTTTAACTTCTCAGTAACCTGCAACAAGCAAAAAATACTCTTAGCGTGATATCTTTTAGAGGTCAATAACTTTAAAATTACAGCTCTTCTTTCAAAATAATCTACGATGAAATAATCTAGCAGAAAGGAAATATATTAATAAGTAACATTAAACTACTTTGTTGATTCCAATGAATTATTTTATCATTCTCAGAAAAATTCGGAATTTTCCTTTGCAATCACAATAATTATCTTTATAAAAACAGACATAAAGCATAGACACAGACATAAAAACAATCGTAAGTCATTGTAAATAAAAAGTAGCGCCATAAAAATGAAAAACTATTCATAAAATAATATTTTCTAAATATCCTCATATTAAAAGGTTATATATTGCCTTTACAAACTAGATGTCGCTTTAGCGAAAATCTCTCGGCCTCCCATAAATTTTTTGACAAGCAAACATTAAATCATGTATTAAATAGTAGGGCTAAAGTAAGCAGGGAGTCGCAGGTGACGCTAGTTATTTATATTTTTACTTGGTTTAGATAAACAAATAGAGTAGAGTGCATCAGCCCGGATAGCGGTAGGTTCAAATCCTGTCCAATGGCTGTACCGAGGGCGATTTTTGTAAAATTTTAAGTAGTTAAGTCCTTCAAATAACAATAATAACAAGGTTTACTTTTAAATTCCCTATAAACATATTTATTCGTAAATATCACACGAAATTCACGTCGTATCAGAGTATAATCTTTTGGGGTGTCACAAGATTTTTTCTCAGCAAATGACAAAAATGTTTAAAAATATATTTCGACAGCCCTGATCCAATAAAGTATTCGATTTCATTTGGACAGCCCGCCATCTCGTGACCATGTCTCGTTTGCGTTGCATCCATCGGGGATCCTGTTTAATCAATTTCATAGTAATAGTGACTGATAGACTTGATTAATTATCCTAAATTACGGTTATCACGTCGGAACCGAAATCGTATTAAATTTTAGAACTAATTACTTGGGAAGTCGTTCCTTATTGATTGACAAGCCTGTAACTTTGCTACGATGTTAACATCTTAATTATGTAATTTAATTGGGTGCCTGGAATTGATGAAAGCAAAGTTAATATAGATTTGGCAAAAAAGCTTGTTATCCACAATTAAATTGTACAGTATTAAAGGAATATAAGTATTATAGGTATATAATTGGGCAAAAAACTTTTTTATTTAAATTTATTGAGTTATTCCTTCATTGCTTCTAATAGATAGTTTTTGTTGATGACTTAACTTTGCGCAGAATCTTTTACACATTTATTTATTTTATTTAACAACTGTTTCATGACGTTATGTCATCAATATGCATTAAGTCAGCTACTGATTTTTACTCAGGCTTCTTCAACACGAAAAGATTTTCTAACAATGAATTATTCCAGACGAAGTTCCTTTCTCAACTGGCTTCGTTACGTCGGCCGTGTCAAATGTATTTTGACAAGTTCTTTTCGAAACACAGGAACAAAGAATTTCTACTGAACAATTACTTTAGAAACAATAAGAAACGTTGTTTGTAAGAAAATTAGACCCTATAAAAGCTTCACAAAAAAGATTCTATAGAGCGTAAAAGTCACGTTGATTAAAACGATTACACCTTCTCCTTCTTTCAAATAAACTTCATAATGTTGTGAATAAAGACAAAGAAGGACGATCGTGACTTTTTGTTTGGTCGAAACGATTATTAGGCACTGAATTTTCATAGCCGGTCTTTTACTTTTTAATTAAAACAAAGAATGGTTTATAGTGGCATTAGAGAGTTCGACAATTTTCTTTGTTTCACTAAATGAAGAAGAATTTAATTATTACTTGACTCTTGAAAATGCGAATCGTTGCTTTCTTTCGCACTCCCTTAAAAAGAGAAACAGTTTTTGGGAATTTATTCATTTTGTTATTCTTTTTACTTATGAAATCAATGAAAAAAATATAACATAAACCACATATATTTTCTGGATATTTTGTTCTAAATAAAAAAAAAACCAATGAAATTAAATAAATAATTGAGCCTCTTAATATAGTTTTACTTTTATGGTCGCATAATTATATTAGCATAAGTTTAGACTATAGAACAATAATAATTATTCGAGCGATCAAATATAAAGTAAAATTATTACGAATACTACAGTAAAAATGGAACCTTATACAATTTTCGCTATATGATGAGTTCAGTATGATGTTCTCTCCAAGAATACCTGTAAAATTTATACAGATAAAGCATATTTTACTTTTCGTAAAAATTTTGCTTGCGCTCATAATTTTGTTCCATGAAACGTTACCTCAATTCAGTCGCTGATTAATAACCAGTAGGTAACGAAATTTTTGAAATTCATCAAATGAAGTTATTCTCCAGAACGTCAGAACGGCATATTATTATGTCACAGATAAACATAGAGGCTCGTTTTGTTATCTATTTAATCTGTTTATTAACATATTTACACCTATTTCATTATTATAGAGAATTATAAGAGTAAGATAGTATTTTGTAAGAGTTTACATTTTTAAACTTATCATTATTTCTTCCTTTTTTTGCAATTAAAGTTACTGTAGATAGAGGTTTAGAAAGGAGAATGGGCAAAAGCGCCTAGATTGTGCTTGAAAATTTAAAATTGAAAATTTAGCCCAACTCCCATAGTAAAATGACCATTTTCCTTTATACATCAATCATACCTCCTTTTCTGAGACAATGATGCCAATTAATGCTATAAGTATTGCTGTATTAGTACTGTTAATATCGGTAAAGTAGTGATTTATTTGCTTTGTAGATATAAACGTACATCTATGTAGTTGGTGATGAAACAAACTTACCCATTAAATAAAAATTAAATAACAAAGGCGGATATCAAACTAATCCGTGTTTAACTGATTCTAATACCAGTGCACTGATTTCCTTTGAAATCACCAGCAGTTTATAGTAATATAAGTTATTTACGGATTGTTACCATGTACCTTGTTTTTAGCGAGTTTGCAGTTACTCCGTGATCATGGCGCTTGCAACAGTGCCGAAATATCGGAAACTCGCTAAAAACAAGGTACATGGTAACAATCCCGAAAATAACTTATATTACTATAATGTTAGTGACCATGAAAGTTTAAAACAATACACCAGCAGTTTATTACAATAAAGTATTTTGGTAGCATAAAAGCTTAATAAATTTTAATTTGAACTTTAATTGTATTAATTGCACTTTTATTCCATAACCTAACCCGCAGCAATCTACTAAAAATTATTAGGTATTAAGTAATTACAGAGGAGCTCGATGGCGCAGGTGGTTAGTGCGTTCGGCTGCGATCGTTGTAGTTAAGCAACTTTCGCAGTGGTCGGTCATTGGATGGGTGACCAAAAATTTCTATCTCGAGTTCCTCCGTGCTTCGGAAGGCACGTTAAGCCCGGTCCCGGTTGCATCTGCAATCGTTAGAACCCGCCAATCCGCACTGGGCCCGCGTGGTGGGTCATGGCTCAATCTCCCTATTCCATCCATAGGGAAGGCCTGTGCTCCAGCAGTGGGGACATAAAGAGGCTGATGATGATGATGATGATGAAGTAATTACCAGGGATTTTTTTTATTTTTATGTTACAAGGGTGAAAAATAAGCATATGGCCCGCCTGATGGTAATGCGCCACCATAGCCTATACACGTTTGCGATATAAAAAAAATATCAGTAGCACCGTTGGCTACTCTGATCCATTCCCCTACCCCGTGGGTCCCTCGAACCTTACTCACCGACAGAAACACAACATCACCAAAAGGTAGAAGTTTATTTTACTGTGGTGTCCTGTAAGGAAGAGGTTACTTGCTCAGACGGGGGCTCCAATTCGAGCGGGAAATACGCTATCTAACTAATTCTTTCAAAAGATTTGAAGTATTTTTGTTTTACTTACTACAGCATTCTCAGCGTTTCCTATCAAATTTAGTATCTTAGTTGACAATGATCTCGACGAATTACGAACTGACACGGTCCTTCTGTGAACTACACAATCGGCGTAAAGATCACTACGTTTTTGTTGCGATAAAATAATATGGACTCACTCCATGTCGCAACGTGTCGGTCGGTAAGTAAAAAAGAGAACAGGATGATCTCAAGAACGTGAGCTGTTTGATTCATGAGTGTTTCAGGTTCAGATAAACTAAGTTTTGAATGAGGATATAAACATTTTCATCACTACATCAAAGTGTGACACAAAACTGTCTCGTCTTAACGTAAGTGTGATCAAAAATCCAATTCTAAAAAAATCAAAATAATAATTTCCAACAACAAAATTTCTACATACAGGTTTTGAAGTGTTTTATTACTTTCGAAACTCCTAATTATCTTTGGCCTGTTTTATAAAGAATCATGATAACATCAAAAGATAATCAAATGTCCAAAGAGTAATACCAACCAAAATTTGCATAGATTGCATATTTTTTTATTATTGGAATGTGTTACCTTAATAATAATAACACTCGCAGAAAAGGTTTCTTCACAAGCACGTATTAGTAATACCCGGACGCTATTTAGAAATTTCTCCTGGCACAATCTTTGCGCGTAAAAGGTTATTTTGAACGCCGATTTAGCAAAAGGACCTTACTACCTGCGCCAAATTTACCTGTTTCAATGGCCCTTAGATTTTTTTCTGCAAGAATACGAAGCAGCTCGTCACAAGGCCCTCAGAAAGGTTTGAGGTGTGAATACATACCTGAAAGCTACGTTTACTGTATAATAATATGAGTTGATAATTTTGTATATTTATAAATCCTAAGCTCTGGATTCGATGTTATAACATACAGGTTTAGTCCAGCTAATACCGAATTCATTTTGAGCAATAGATCGTGGGTTATGTTATGATGTCCGTTTACTTTATAGATGCTTTGGTACAACCACAGAAAGGTCAAGCGATAAATAAACGTGTGGGGTACTGGGTCAGAGTAAGCAGTAACAGATGGCGAACCTGAAATTGCAAGAATAGAAAATGGACAGAAACTCTCTGAGACAACAACCCAGGCAAAACTGGCAATTA